GAAACTGCTTGTTAGATGTTTAAATCTTCCTTGAAAATCGTTTTATGTTAACTTACCGTTCGAACAACTTGCGTTTAATACCGCTCGTGACATTTTCGCATCCGTTATAATAACCTTATGTCCGTTTAAACAGTTTCCATTCCAGGTGTGGAAACCAATTAATGGCTTTTAAAATACTGCTAGTCACACAGTATAGCTTAGATATCACATTAGAAGTGCTCTACATAAGCCAAGTTAAGAGTAGAACATCAGGTTGTTGAATCACTGTTGCTTCTCACATCATTCCGACATGATTTTTTGAAACGTGATACAGACATTTTTATATCTAAATGTCATGTAAGAATATATAGCTGTAGTATATTGCATATACTGCAAATTTTGACCTGTTTTACATGTATTTGAAGTGCAAAAACCGTCAATTTTAGGGTGCCAGCCCTAGACAGCTGTCGTTTCCAATGTGTTGCAAACAGCAGAACATCCTTTCTCTTTCTATTTCATTTGGTTGTGTTATGTACCAAACTCAACTTTGATTATTGTTTGCAGATTCTGGCCACAAAGTCACAGACCAAGTTCTACGTTGAAGAGTCTGAGTCAGATGCCAGTGACAGTTCAGATGAGTTGCCGTTAGCCTCAGCCTTGACAGCCTTACAAAGGACCCAGCAGTTTTTCAGACATTGATGATGAAATAGCGGATCCAAGTATGGGGCAGTTGATCGCTGACGCAATGAACACTGTGAACAATGTGACTAATGTGAGTTATAATGCATTTCTATTACTTTGAAATTAGCCTGTTCCAGGGCCTTCCAGGTTCTTGGTCAGTGGGGACAATCAATATTCGATCAATATTCGTATTCTTTTACTGATTTTAGACTGAAAATATTATTGTGAGAATTGTTAGATTATATAGCATACCACATTTTCGTTTTATTGACTTAAATGACGTTGAAGTAATTTTGGAGCCAGACTCCAGGCAATACAGCCTGATATGACGCACACAATGTTATTATAATCGAACAGACGGCTAGTACTGTTTTTCTTGTTTTTTGACTCTAGTTTTGCCATCTAGGAAAAGAGAGAATTTTATGCAGTTTAGTTAAAACAACGTACATTTGTATTGTTTTTACAAATTTCAACACAGAAATTCATTTTCTTTTCATATATATGCATGGCTAACATAATTTTCTTACTTAGGCATGCAATGCTGATAGGCAAGATAGTACCTCCACTGAACTACAACTGATAAGAACTATTCTAGAGAGGCTGGAGTGCACATTTGCAAGGCAAGAAGCCAAACTGGATAAGCTGTTGCAGCAGACTAACTTGCACTTTAACCAGCAACCCCCACCACCTATGTTCTCTACCCCTGATGTGGCTACAAAACAGTTCAGTCAGTCTGCAGAGTACCTCCCATTTAAGTCATCCAACCCCAGCAGACCTTCCCTACCAGAACCTACATCTGCAGATCCGGACTGGATATTGTATGATGTCTTCCAACAGTCAAATCTTGAGTTGGCAGGTATGACATTTTGCTTGATATAAAATAGTGAACTTTTAATTTTCCAAATTATGAGTAACAGAAAAATATATTATGATATGATACCAATTAAATTTACAAGGTAGTTCAGACAACCCTCTTTTGAAAGCACTAGTTTATCAACTACTATGTACCAAAATTCATACATGAAAAAATGGCTTTGTTTGAGAGTAAAAAAAAACTTCTACATACTTGGACTGCCTTTAGGCTATGAGCTCTAAAACCTTGCCTACTACTCCTTAAATCCTGTTTTCAATTATCGGTAACTTCACCCCCGTGGAATAAATAATTTACTTAATTCTAGGATATTGCACTGTTGGAGGTTCTGCCAGTGTCC